TTGGAAGTCTCGGCTAGGCCCTTTTTGGTTGTCGCGATTCTCTCCCTGAGTAGTCTCAGCGACGCTTGTCTCAGGATGGCTGTGGATTGTTTTTAAAAAACTCAGCCGCCATTGGCTGACCCCCCTCCCTCTGACTACCCCGCCCTCTGACTACCCCCCCCTTCCCCCCAAGAAGGAGTATAAAAGGACGAGCGCAACGCGAGGGAGCTCAGTATCAGAGTCTCCCAGCCCTGATGATGCAGACTGCAACGCCTGCGAAACGTCGGCACCACACTGCAAACGGACGCGGCAACCATCCGGAAGCCATGAAGACTAAAGAAGACAACAGCCGCGAAAGCCTGAAAGCCAAGAATATCATTAGGTACTTTTGTAGAGAAGATTTTTGTAGAGACAATATTTTTGAAAAGGTATTTTTGGAAAGATATTTTTATAAAAATATTTTTGTAAAGAAGCTACTTTTGCAGGAAAGATATTTTTGTAGAGAAGATACTTTTGCAGAAGAGATAGAGTAACATTGGAGCTTATACTTGGTGCATTTCTTACCTTTTTTTAAAAGGTTTTTTGGGTGATATCACACCTTTTGTAGTGTTAAATACTATAAATAAACTCTAGACACTATGCCCGTTAACTGGTAACTCGCTAGTTATTATTACGAGAGAGAACCACGAAAGAACCGATATCCGTTTTGTATGATATTAACCTTGTGTCGTTGACCACGATGTTAGACTTCTATACGAGTCTTCAGTCCGAGAAATAGTGTAGCCAATCAAGCAAATATATTAAACGAAAAATCTGAGGGCCTGTCAAATCCGTACTCGCGTACTCGCGTAAACTACACCCGTCGGTCTTGCGCGCGCGGTTCTAGCTACGCTTATACTTAGCGCAAAACACTATCGTATCTCGTGATGATTAACCTTGTGTCTACGATGTTAGATTTTCGGGTACTCAGTCCGAGGCAATATTAATGGTAATATTAATATATTAACTACACGGTTCTCGGACTGAGATCTCGATCCAAGATCTAGCACAACAATTATGTTTACGTTCATTGATCGCGCACACTTACACTGACAACTTTGCCATGTTTACGCGCACTCGGCGATAAACCGAGCTTTCGGAAGTCGTCGGTAATAATGTAACATCGGTAATGTTACGCGTCGGTAACATCGGTAATGTCAGTCACGTCAGCAGCGCCAATGCCACGTTGCGGCAGAAAAGTGAAAAGGACTGTCGACCAAGACGACGAAGACGGTTCTTAATACGTAATCCTACGTAATCTGCCCAACATGCGGACTTTGCATTGCAATATCTCCACTCATGGGGCACGTAGGAGAAAAGTAAAAACACTTTTATTATGCAAATTGTACCCACGCTATCGATTAAGCGCAGTCTCAAGTCCGTCGGATCAGCCGTTGTTGAGATCCGAAATTCTGAGGGCCTGTCAACTCGCGTACTCGCGTAAACTACACGGTCGGTGTCGCGCGTGTGGTTTAGCTTGTCGCTTAATTGTTGTCGCTTATACTTGGCGCGAGACACTACCGTGTTTCGTGATATTGGAAATGGAATAAATATAGGAATAGGATTAACATAAATATTTTTTTAGTTATAAATTAATTAATTAAATATTTAAAATTTTTTTAAACTTAAGACACTTTATTTTATAACCACAGTAAGAATACCTATAATAAACTATAATAAATTATAAGATAATATTATAAGAAATTATATTTTTTCTCAAATGAAAAACTTAATAGCTAAACATAATATTGTTAATTAATTATTAGTACACTATTATATACTAGAGTCTGGTACTAGAAGTCTTGGATAAAAAAAATAAACATGTTAAACCACAAAGTAAAAAGTAAACTAAACACTATAGACATGTCACGTTGACGCATTTCTTGCCACATTGGCTATTCGCATATAAAATAAAAACAAAATTATTGCACATAACTCGAGGTACAAATTAAAATTGCAAATATTGCAAATACTGCAGCGGTGATCAAAAATGATATTATATTTAAATGAGGTGTAAAATATTATTCTTACACCCATATTGTTTCGTCTATTGATGAAAGAAAAATAAGCATTGACAAGTTAGATCCTGTTAATCTGTTCCGCATGTCAGTAGCAATAAGACCTGTCTCTGAAAACAATCTCTCTGCAGGTACCGAGGTAGCTACTACTGAAAGATATTTCATTGTTAGTTGATACAAATTTGGAAACTGAGATTGTAAAGAAATCCAAGTTTCATAGGAATTATTTGTTCGATTTGTTACAGGTAAGTTTAAAATTGACGCAACTCTATTGAAATTCCATCTACCTCTTCTTCTTGAACAACAGCGCTCTTAGTTGCAAGTGAGTCATGAATGGCCCACAGATCATCTTCATACTTCAATGTATGTTGATCACCTTTATGGAGTTGAGGAACTAGTGTTCCACACATTTCGGCGAACTCCGTTAATTTCATTACATAAAACATTAATTACTTCTGCGACTGCAAGTAGCTTGTTAAAATGGAGTTTTTTAAATCTAGGATCTAACAAAGTTGCTAATGCTAATGGTCGAACTTTCTCTACTTGGCCGAACCTTGTGCCAAATTGTAATAGTAAACGGTCTTTCATTTTTTTTACCATTGATGTTTCGTCGCTAATCTCAACGGAAGAAATTCTCTGAAAAATATAGAAATAATAAAAAGTATTAGGTTAGATTAAATGTGTGATAAAATAAAATGTAATTTAAAGAAATTAAATACTATTTGCAGGAGGTTGAGTAATGGTATCACTTTAGATGCCGTTGGCACTTTCTCAGCTGATAATTCTTCTATCACCTGATACAGTGGTGCCAGTAATTCGCAAATGACTCTAACTATGTTTAACTCTGCTCCAGTAAGCTTGTTTGGAGAAGCAGAATGTTTTAAAAGTGTGATGCCGATTTCATCGCTAAGTTCACGAAATCGTATTAGGGATAGATAGGTCGAGTTCCATCTCGTGCTGACGTCTTGAATTAACCGTAAAGCTGTACCTTCACTCTTGCCTCTCTGGTATTGCAATTTCCTCAGAGAATCTGATGCATTCACGCTTTTTTAAAAAAATGTAATAATTTTTCTCACTTTATTCAAAAGTGTTGAAATCCCTTCGACATTATCAACTATGGTACCGTTAACTTTATGAGTGCTAAGTACATCATATGCCAGAAGATTTATAGTATGTGCAAAACAAGGAAGGTGCTTAGCTTTACCAAACGTGTCTTTTGCTGCCTTAACCATATTTTCACCATTGTCAGTCACAATAACTGATATTTTATCCATTTCGATGCCCCACTGACAACTAATTTCCAAAATGATGGTACTTATATAGCCAGCAGTGTAACTCTCATCCAATATTTGTACTCCGATTGTAACGGACTGCATGTTCTTTCCATTTTTGTAATAGTGTAAAGTCAATCCCAAATAACTTGTCGTTATTTGAATATTAGTCCATATGTCAGCTGTGAGACAGTAAGAAACCAATTCTTTGATAATGTTTCTAATCTTCACAGTAAGTACGTCATATTTATCTCGCATCATTTTAGTTACTGTTTTGCGACAGGGCGGTTTATAGAGGGGTAATGCTCGTTTTATAAAGTATTTGAAGCCCGTTCTGACTGGTGTCAAGAGCGGCAAATGATCACGAGCAGGGCCGTGCAAAGGGGGGGGGGGGTGCGGCGGATGCACCGCACCAGGGCCCCCAGTGTTAAGGGGCCCCAAAATTCGGTTAAGGGGATGCTGGAGTGACGGG